TGCTGTTTCAAAAGTGTGCAGAGAGAAACATTGGGAAATTCCATGAATGTTGGAATGAAACTGATATATTAGTAAGAGTACTCTGATAGAGCTAAGGGTAAATGGAAACAATTTTCTCCACTTATGAACAGTAAGAGGTCATTTCCTCTCCCTCTTAGAGAGTTTTCTTGGAGAAATAGTCTGAGCTTTCACTCTTCCCTTAGTAATACAGTGATATTTCTCTAGGGATTAAGCCCAGTCTCCAGTTTTTACAATGAAAGAAATCTCCAAGTTTGTAAACCAAATAATCTCTAGATATGTAAAAATATAGTTGTTATTAGCTTAGGAGTCTTTCACAAATTACATATGAGAGCTGAACCCATGAAGGTGAGTGGGGTGGTACCTTGAAGATTATCTATATATAGATAGCTAAGAGAGAACTCTTTCTTTGTGTTGCTGCAGAAAACCAGCTTTGAGTTAAGGTCATTTTTAGCTTAGGAATGCATGAATCAATAACAAGTAAATACACACTCCAAATAAATTGTTTAAAAATTTTCAATTTTATTAATATTTATTAATGTTTTCATGTTTAACTTGAATGTACTACATGAAGTGATCAGTCATTTGTTGATTTTGATGGGACCAAAGGGGAGTATTAAACCCTTACCTCTTGGGCTTTCTTCTGTCTGCTCCCAGCATTACTGTCATTCATAATCCTAGGGAAACACAGATTTCTACATGCTTCAAGATAAACGTAATTAAAAAAAACAAAACAAAACATAGTTTTGAAGTGAAAAATTCACTTTCTACCATCAGTCTATTTCCTACTGAATATAAATCATAAGCTATAATTTGTTTCTTATAAAACTATATCCTTTTTTAAGTAAGAACTGTAGTGGTGAATATAAAACATGTTTGTTTTGAAATTTCCCTCTCTTAAGGAAAGTCTACATAAGCATGTGTGACAGTGTTGTGCATGTGTATATTCTTTAATTTTGTTACTTAAAAACTGCTAAAGTTTACCTTCCTGAACAATGACAGACCTCTGTACCCAAGAGCTGGTGAACATGTTAATAACTGATCATCCCTGATAAAGTCAATGTAAATAAAAGAATTTTTTAAACCCATAAAGGGGCCCAACTCTCCTTTACATCTTTACCTGGAAGTCCTCTGCCATCAGCTATTGCAAAACAGGCCCAAAC